CTACACTCCCGTCTTGTTACCACCTCTGCCAATGACAATTACTGCCCTGAGCTCTGGTACCACTGATTCATTCTGCCTGTTTTTCGAACTTTATATAAATGAAATCATATCGTACGTATTCTTTGATGTTTAGCTTTTTTAGCTTAACATTTTATGATATTCATTCATATTATTCTGTGTAGTTGTGTTTGTAAAATCCCGTTGCCAGAAGGTATTCCATTTTATGATTAAACCACAATTTATTTACCCATTCTACCACTGATGGGCATTTGCATTGTTTCCACTTTATCAGTATTATGAATGGCACCACTATGAGCTTTTTTGTGCATGTCTTTTGGTGAATATATGTATGCATTTCTGTTGAGCATATACAGGCAGTTCTCATCTTGCATAGTACCAAATGCACAAATTTCATTTACCACAGTGTAGTTAGATAACACCAGTCCCCCAACAACACAGTTCAAATTTCAATTACCACGGTATATAAACTATGAAAAATTGCAGAAAGTACAAACTTTGCCACTAGCCATCCAATCCACAAATCATTATGTAAATATCAGAGGGGCATCATGGTCAGAGACCAATCATGTATCTTTTTCTAAAGTCTTGGGTACTACACATCTGTTATTCAGTTCACACACAGACAGCAAAGTCTATACTTGTGTTGCCTCCTTGTCTCCCAGTGATAAATCCATGTGATTTATCAAGTTTCATCAATGTAATTATCAATTTTATAAACATTTTATAAAAATTGATAATTAAAAGAAGAAATTGGCCAACAAAGATGAAAATGCAAAAAAAAAAAAAAAGAGAGAGAGAGAGATAATGCTAGAGGTGAAATTTAAATTGAACATAAATGAAGTTATAGAAGAAATATAGTTGGTTATGGGAATGTTGACACTGCCAATGACTGGAAGACCCTAGTTGTTGCAGTTAGAGAAATAGCAATGGCACAATTTTTGTTTTTGTTTTGTTTTGTTTTTTTAGACAGAGTCTCCCTGTGTTGCCCAGGCTGGAGTGTGGTGACACTATCACAGCTCGCTACAGTCTCAACATTCTGGGCTCAAGAAATCCTCCCACTTCTGCCTTCTGAGTAGCTGGGACCACAGGTGCATGCCACAATGCCTGGCTAATTTATTTATTTATTTATTTTTAATAGAGATGGAGCTTTTCTATGTTGCCCAGGCTGGTCTCAAACTCCTGGGCTCAAACAATCCTCCCATCTCAGCCTCCCAAAGTGCTGGGATTCCAAGCATGAGCCACTGTGCCCAGCCAGGGCTCATTTTTTTGGCATAAATGACGAAAGTGATAGTGATGAAAAGGATGAAGATGTAAAAGAGGAAGTGACGCTGAGCAAAAGTCTTCACAATAAACTCTAAGATATTTCACAACATTGAAAGCACAATGGATAAAATGTTAGAAGCTGATCCAAACTTCAAAAAGAGTATGACAGTTCACTAAGGCATAGAAGAAGATGCTCGCTCCATAATAATATGTAATATGTAATAATATGTAATAATATGAGAAGAAGGTAATTATTGTTTAAGCTGTTTGATAATATTTTTACAAAGAAATTAAACACTTTAATTCTCAATGTTTTTAATGTCTTAAATTCCTAAATACAGGTTAGTGTTCCTATCTTTTTTCATTTCTTTATGCCAATGTGACAGAAAGAGAGGATTTAATGTTTTGACAAGGTTTTCTAAATATCATGAGACAACTGCAATTTTCCCATTGATTATTAAGATGGTTTTGCAGTTTCAGCTTGCGTGGCCATTTTTATGTCTCCCACTACTGTGCAAAGCAAGGACTGCTTGTGTTGATAGTACAGTTCTAGGTTAAGGTAATGAACATTTGACACACTGCTCAACTGGCAATCAGTTCCTCTCATAAACCTCTGTCCATTGGGTTTGCCTTAAAGACTATGTTCCAATGAGAATCAGTAGACCAATAAGTCAACTTTAGTCCTTGTAAGGTATCAAGCAAAATGAAGAGTGAATAATGATTAGACACTGGCTCAAGAATATCTCAATACCAGCTAGCCCTTTTCTTTGCTCATAACATATGATGACTGCCTTTAGCCATATAAACTCAAGCTCTGTCAAAGTAATGCATCTTTTAGCTGTGGCCCACCCCATATGTTACTGCCCTCAAACTTCTGCCTAAACAGGCCTTTTGATATAAAATTTGGCTGTACTTTAGTAGCTGGAGCTGAACCAGAAACAGTGACTATTTAAGGATGAACCTTTACATACTACTAATAGTTGGAAATTAATTTCACAATTCAAAAATAAAATATTAAATGGAGTAAACTGACACAATCAAGTCTTTATCCAAAGTATTTTCCAGAGTTTCCTCAGCCCAAGATGGTAGTGAACTTGTAGAGTCATAGATCCAAGCATGATTAAAAACAAGCAAACAAAAAGCAGAGGAGGACAGTCCCCAGAGGAGAATTGTGCAGATGTGTCAGGAGAAATAGATGTCAAAGAACCTGGGCCCTGGAGAGAGAGAGGGAGGAAATAGCTTTTGAACTTCCCTACTCCCTTGAGGCCAGATTGCATGAGTTTCCTAAGATTCTCCTACATCCTTTCAATAAACTACCTTAATTCTACTCATGTTTTTAAAATCAGTTTCTGTTTCATGTAACAAAATATACCCTAATGACACATCCCAAAAATATCTCAATAATTTAGCATAACTTGATGCTACATGAAGCACACATAGAGCTTAAAGTAGAAATCTATACTTTTAATCTAACAAAAAATTTATAGTTTTGTAGTTATAACTTTTTATTTCTGTTTTAAAATTACAACAGTAACTTATGTATGGATAGTCAGTGTACAAAATCCAAATGATACAGAAATGAATAGAAAACCTGTGACAATGAATCCTTTTACTTCCTCACCACAGATTGGCCAATCCCAGCCCCTCTCCAGAGGTAAACACTAATAACAATCCCTCTGATCTGTTGCATGCCTCCACGTATATAAATGTTACGTATTTCTTAACACAAGCAGTATGATACTATATTTATTCTTTTGCAACTTGCTTTTTCAATCATTCATGTGTCTTAGATAGAGTTCTTGTCAGTACATTTATATCTTCCTGATGTTTTTCAACAGCTCTATAGTATCTATAGTATTGATAATTATGTTCTTAATTATACCCATAACTTTTACCCTTTCCCTATTGAGGGTTACTTTCAATTTTATACTATTTAAAATTATAATGCAATGATTTGTAAAAAAATCGCTGTGCGCGTGACTATTTCTGGAAGGTAGACTCCTAGAAATGGAATTACTGGGTCAACTTTTAGACCTAATTCCAAGTTACCTTCAAAAGCAGGTATCTATTTACCCTTCTACCTCAATATATTAGAAACCACATTTCTCCTACACACTAACCAACCCCAAACACTAGATATTACCAATCTTTTTATTTAAAAATTCGTAAAATCTTTACCAGACTAATGGGAGCAAAATGTCTTGTTGTTTTAATTCTTATAATTCATAGAGCAAGTACACAGTGAATTTTTTATTTTATTATTCAATTTTGGATATCTAATTTAGAGCACATAACTTCTTATTGGAAAATCAAATATGAAATTTCAATCATGTCTGAGAAAAATCAATATATAAACTGTAACCATATAGGAAATATATTTTAAAAATAACACTATGTACATTTCTCGTAAGTTAGCAAGTAGTTAAATACATTGGTAGCATTTCTATATATTAATATTTTGTGAGCATATGCTCTTTTCCACGATGTAACAAAAGTTAGTGCACAAAATAGAGAAAAAAGGATGATGCAAAATGCAAAAAAAAAAAAAAAAAAGATCACTTTGCTCGATCTGCTCCTGCCCATGATATCAGCATCATTATGTGCTCACTACTCTTCCTTGACTCTCTATAACCCTGCAGAGGGGAGATGATAAGTGCAAATGGCCCACAGTGATCATGTACCACCACACACTAGCATAGGACAATAGAACCCAAAAGCTAAATTAATAAGAAAGCAGTGACACAATGGAACTGATTTCTTTAAGGCCTAAATCACTCTAATATCTTTTTCAAAATTTCTTACTGTAAAGCAAGGAAAGAAAGAAACCAAAACTGAATTTAAAACAAACTCTGAGGCCAGGCACAGTGGATTACGCCTGTAATCCCAACACTTGGGGAGGCCGAGGCAGGCAGATCACGAGGTCAGAAGTTCGAGACCATTCTGGCCAACATAATGAAACCCCATCTCTACTAAAAATACAAAAAATTGACAGCTGTGGTGGTGTGTGCCTGTAATCCCAGCTACTCAGGAAGCTGAGGCAGGAGAATCGTTTGAACCTGGGAGGCAGAGGTTGCAGTGAGCTGAGATCGCACCATTGCACTCCAGCCTGGGCAACAGTGCAAAAAAAAAAAAAAAAAAAAACCAACAACAACAAAACTCTGTTTACTACAAAATAAAGCAATGTCATTTGGTCTCAGTGGAGCAAGTTACCCAGTCACAGTCTAATGCAGTGAAGAATTAAGATGCTCATTGCTCCTGCAATCAGATCATCTGGGTTTGAATCCCAATGTCACCTCTTACCTTGGATAAACCACTTTCACCTGTCCAAACTCCATAAAATGGAGATAGTAGTAAATCCTCCATACAATAGTTGAGATTAAATGAGAATTGAATGTGGTAATCCTTATAAAGTTCTCAGCCTCTGTCTGCTACTATCTAAATGCTAAGTAATAGTGTCTAAATTTCACTGGGTTGAATCTTGATCCTGTTTTACAGGCTGCCTGTGCCCTAAGGTGACAGGGTATCCCCAAAGGGCTATGAAAGTGTAGGGGAATGGGGTGCCTTTCCTGGAGCTAGATACAGTGGTGAAGGCAAAGCTAGGTTTGGTCAAGCAGGCAAGATGAGAATATAAAGCTTGGACAGATGATAGACAGAAAACTGGAGCAGGCTGCCATAGAAGAAAGGGGTAATTAAGACAGGAAAGTGAGGAGGAAGGCATGGCAGCAGTTGGCCTGCAGCCAAGATGGTTCCTGCTGGATGCAGAAGGTACTTGCCTGTGTCAAAACTTCCAGCTGGGCAACTGGCTATGGTGCTGTGTGTTATCCACTGATGGTCCTGCCCTAGGGTAGTTCTTCCCCGTCTTTAAAGGAGTCTGGCTCCTTGAATAGCGACTTCAAAGAGAAACAGCCAGAAGACTGAAGAAACTCAAGCCTTTCCTTAGGAAGGGGAGAAATTCAGTCCGTTCATTCATTCAGTCAGTATTTATTGAATATCAACTAGGGGACAAGAAAGGGGCTAAATGACGAGGATATAATTTATCTAAACTGGTGAACAGAACATATGCGAAACTTGCCTTTTTGAAGTTTGCTGTCTATTAGAGGAAGACAGACTTAAACATGTGAGTAAACAAGTGAATATATAACCACAAATTGTAAGCAGTCCTGTGAAGGAAAAAAATAGGATGCTATGTGAGAGAACAGGAGAAAGATTCTTATTTATACGTCAGGTTGGTGATGATGCGGGGGTAGGGTTAGGAAAGCCTTCTCTGAGGAGGTGACAGTCAAGTTAAGAACTAACGGATGGCCGGGCGCGGTGGCTCAAGCCTGTAATCCCAGCACTTTGGGAGGCCGAGGCGGGCGGATCACGAGGTCAGGAGATCGAGACCATCCTGGCTAACCCGGTGAAACCCTGTCTCTACTAAAAATACAAAAATTAGCCAGGTGTGGTGTCACATGCCTGTAGTCCCAGCTGCTCGGGAGGCTGAGGCAGGAGAATGGCATGAACCTGGGAGGCGGAGCTTGCAGTGAGCTGAGATCCGGCCACTGCACTCCAGCCTGGGCGACAGAGCGAGACTCCGTCTCAAAAAAAAAAAAAAAAAAAAGAACTAACGGATAAGAAAGAATTAGATAGAGTTGTAAGAAAAACTGCCTTAGAGAGGAAACATCAGTTGCGTAGACCCTGAGGTCGGAATGAGCCTAATCCAATCCAGGAACTGGAAAAAAAGACTGCAGAGCCATGTGCCAGGGGCACCAGTGACACAACATGGAGCCAGAAGTGTAGGCAAGGACCAGATGATACAGGGTGTTATGATGCCATTGTCATCATTTATTAAAGAGTTCCTTTTGTATCAACCCCTGTGGAAGAGGGGAAGGAAGTGAGAAATGCTGGGAACAGGCCCTAAGCCTGTCACAAACAGGCCTTAAAGAAACTGGCCATAAACAGGATTTCTGCAGCAATGTGACATGCTGGTGACGGCTAGCATGCACACTTCTAGAAGTTGTTAGCTTACTGGAGCAGGGCAAGGGAAACCTGGCCCACCCAGAGCGGAAAACTGCTCAAACCACAAACAATAGCAGGAGCGGCCTGTGCCTTAACAACATGCTTTTGCTCCAGATAATCAGCCAGAGCCTGTTTCTCTGCTCCTCACTAAGAATGCTTTGTTTCCCGTAAGGAATGCTTTTAGTTAATCTATAATCTATAGAAACAATGCTTATCATTGGCTTGCTGTCAGTAAATACATGGGTCAAACTCTGTTCATGGCTCTCAGCTCTGAAGGCTGTTAACCCCCTGATCCCACTTTGCACTCTATTTCTGTATCTTTGTCTTAATCCCTCTAGCACTGCTGGGTTGGGTCTCCACGACCGAGCTGGTCACGGCAGAGACAGATGGGGCAGAGCAAGACATGAGCTGAGTGGCAGACCCAGATGACAGCCACAGCCAATCCCATGTGAAGCTCCGCAGCTAGAATGGCTATCCAGAGTTGCCCAGAGTTGGCCAAGCCTTTATACCCCCGCGATGAGTGGTCCCTGGATGCAGGGCACCCCGGGAAGGATGAAGTGGTTCCCTGTGTCTGAGGTCAGCCTGCAGGGGCTGACCGTTGAAGACATCTACCAACAGCATTCCCAGCAGCCAGACTGCTCACTGTGTTCACCATAGCCATGGTCTGGGATGGTTGGGATTTATTCAAATGCAGTGGAAAGCCTTCATATGATGGGAATGAAGTAAGCAAACCAATATGGCTGCTGTATGGAGCCTGGATCAGAGGCTACAGCTTAGAAACAGAGAAACCAGTCAAGAGGCTGCTGTTCAGGTGAGGGATGCTGGATGCTGTGGCTAGGAAGGAAGGAGCGGTGGTGGAGAGAAGTGGAGAGATTCAAGATATACAGAAGAAGCAAAGAAAGGAATTAGTGAGGGCTTATTTCCAGCAATATGAAATCCATAACGCGTTATGAGAGAAAAATGTGAAAATCAAAGGCTATGCTAAAGAACTCAATCAATATTCTTAAAATAAAATTTTATTTATCTAAGTAGGATATTGCAAAGAGAGTGTGGTTACTTTGGGATATAGCTTTGAACTTGCTCTCTTTCAACCAGTTAGGTTTAATGTGGCCTTAGCCTTCCATTTGACATAAACATAAAGGGCCAGCAGTGGATTGGCCCCCAAACAAGTGACCAAAACAACATTTGTGGAAAAGCCAGCATTTCTTTTGGAACAAAACTCCCAGACAAAGATTTGCCTACAGTTTACAAAAGCGAGAACAAAGTTACATGCAGTTATAAAGGCATTTTGATTGATCACCACCTTGAAACATAGCATTCTGGAGCAGCATATGATCCAAGTATCCCATTTTATAGACAGGAAGACTGAGACTCATGGCAGATGATTGACTTATGACCACATAGAAGATTTGCAACCAAGTGTAAACTAGAATTCAGCTTTCTTCTCCAGAGCATTTCCCACTATGGTTCACATCCCTTCAAATGGTTAGATGTGGAGGAAAAGCTGCAGAATTGAAGCTCCTAGCCAGTTATTCCTAAAACTAGGATTCTATCTCATAAGACAGGACAAGGAAGGTTTATTCATTATGTTTTTTGTGTTTTTAAAGACCGAGTCTTGCTCTGTCACCCACGCTGGAGCGTAGTGGCACAATCTCAGCTCACTGCAACCTCACCTCCCAGGTTTAAGCGATTCTTGTGCCTCAGTTTCCCTAGTAGCTGGGATTACAGGCATGTGCCATCATGCCTGGCTAATTTTTGTATTTTTAGTAGAGACAGGGTTTCGACATGTTGGCCAGGCTGGTCTTGAACTCCTGGGCTCAAGTAATCCACCCGCCTCGGCCTCCCAAAGTGCTGGAATTACAGGCATGAACCACCACACCCAGCCTGCTCATTGTTACTCTTCACCAAAGAAACTGATGATCAAATCAGCATAAATGGTCCATAAAAGATCTAACGTAGTATTCTCTAATCTGTCTTATCTTTTGAATATAGACTTTATTCACATTTTCAAATATTCCTGAAAGCTCCCTAAAGCTTTAAATGTGCCATGAGGAAAGTGCTCACGTTCATGGATTTCCAACTTGCTTATCATCAATTTTCAATGTCTTTATTCTTTTTCATAAAGGTCAGTGAACAAAAATTGCATTCTGAGATGCAATCTCCTGGATTATAGACCTTCTAGAGAATCTGCCTAATGTTCCAGTCATCACACACAGCAAAGACAACTCCTGACCCATGAAAGAAAAAACATGCCACTGAGACCTTTTGTATGAATCTTTTTGTTAATAGAACCAGTGAGCTTCAACTGAATTCAATCTTAAATTTCCAGAGCACCACTGCTGGATGCTCACAGGAAAAAACAGGCGCTCCTCTAGGATATCTTAACATTTAAAATTGGTAACTTATTTTTCCAGCATAATGTGAGGAAGCATGAAACTTTTCTCTGCTTGCATTTATTCCTGGTCCCCTTCCCAAACGTCTGCACACTGCACCTGATAATAATGTGTCAGTGGGCAATGCCAAACTTAGCAGGGAGACAGGAGAGAGACAGAGGGGAGAGGAGGAGACAAGAAGGGAATAAGGAAAGAGGTAGAAAAGATGAGGTAAAAAGTAGGGGGAGAAGGGGGAGAAGGGAGGGAAGAAAATTTAAGGGTTAGGGAGGGGAGGGAAAAAAATAGAAGGGACTGGAGGAAAAAGGAGGAACTGGAGGGACTGGAGGAAAAAGGGACTGGCGGAACAGATCAGGGAAGAAAGCAGAAAGGAGGGAAGGCTTATGAATTCGCTCTCATTAAGCTTTTCTCCTTTCATTCTTTTCTTCTAGTAGCTAAGAGGAATTTGAAGACATTTCCATAAAAATTTATTTTTGTAGGTACAACAGATAGGATTTTGACAGCAAAGTTCTGATAATTACCCAAGTGTATATTAACAGTCTGTATTCAGGACTTTCAGAGCTTTTAAGATACAACCAATATTTTACAAAATGTAGTTTTCTTCTCTTAAAATGAATTAGATAATAACCACGCTTAATGAGCAACTACAGACTGGAAACACAGAGTGTGAGACTACATAAAACAATTTCTATAAAGTGATTAAGATGGTAGCTGGCCTGTAGAAGCTCAGCAAACAATAAATTATTATTATTTGTGTAATGTTGCAACCCAACAAAACTTACAATAAAATTAGTTGTGTACATATACATAAGTGTATATGCATGTGGTAATTAGCCATAAGTTCATAAATGTTAGTGCACGTGGTAATTAGCCATAAGTTCTCATAAATTCTTGTAATTAATATTACCTTTATAGAACCAGACCTAGTTTTTCTATTTTTCGTTTTAGAGCTCTGCATCTTTATAATGTACCATTGTTTATGTTTTCCCTAAATGCAGTTTAATTCTCTTTGCACATTCATGATAATCCCATTGTTAAATGCCACAGAGGCCAGATAAGTTCCCCCAAGCAGATGCCCCAGCTTTCCCATCATGCCTTAGGCAAACACTCCCTGGGCTCATCTGGAAGTGGGCTGGCCTGGGCACCTGAGGGTAGAAGAGCTCAAGGGTCCTGACTGTGGAGTATGAACTGTGCAGCATCCCCCAGAGAAAGGACACGTGTGAGGGGACAGGCTGGGCACAGGGAGACTCAGAGCGAGGTGGTTGATGTGTTTGGGAGAGAAGACAGAGTGACAGTCAACCCTGGACACAGGGGTGTGGAGCAGAGCTGACTGGTAGGTTGGGTGAGCGGGATCTAGTTGGGCCAGGATTGGATTCA